CCTTCCTTCCTTCCTTCCTTCCTTCCTTCCTTCCTCCCTTCCTTCCTCCCTCCCTCCTTCCCTTCCTTCCTTCCTCCCTTCCTCCCTTCCTCCCTTCCTTTTTCTCTGTCTTACTCTCTTTTTTATCTCTTTCTCTCTCCTCCCTCCCTCCTCTCTCCTCCTTCCCCCCTTCCTTTTTTCTCTATTTTCCTCTTTTTTATCTCTTTCCTCTCTCTTTCTCTTTCTTTCCCCCTCCCCCTTCTCTTCTCTCCTACCCCAGGAGGCCTGTTTTTGAATTTTCATAAGAAATCCACAATGACACAAAAAGCTGACCTCCACACTTCTAGATAACAGGCCCTCTTTTCTTTCCTTCTCAGGCTAGTGTATCAGTCCATAGCACCCACAGCAGGCCCATGTGGTTCCCTGCTTTGTCAATGCTCTCTTGTGTGCCAGGCCACTGGCTGCCCTCAGGGCGGTCCAAAACCAGCCGACTCCCTCCTACCCCAGGCCTCCTCTCCCAGTCCTCATTGGTTGGCTCCCCTCTGCAGCACGGCTACATTGGTGTCAATAGACCTTCTCCACCCCTAGGAAAGAAATAAGAAGCCAGTGTCTGGTGCCTTTCTGCAGCCACAAGGAAAGAGGTGAGAGAAAAACCACCAGCAGGAAGGTGAGTGAGGGGCTGGGGGCCAGCGCGTTCCTGGGCAGCCCCTGCCGCTGGGCTGCGGGTTTTCTAGCTTGCAGCCACCCGTGTCCAATTTCTTTTCTCTGTGCTCGTTTTCTTGCTGAGGGTGCCGGTGGGCTTGGCTCCTTGAGACCCGGCGAGCACCCAGCGTCAGGGGCCTCTGGGCTGGGGCTGTCTCCAGGAGAGGCCAGGGCCGGGGAGTTTGCCTAGGTTTCCCAGAGGTGGCTTTGCCTCTCATTTGAATCCTGGCTCCGGGACGAAGCCCCTGCCTTTCCTTTGCAACCCTTTCGTCCTTTGCTCACTCTCGTGCCTGAAGGGAACTTAGCACTCCTGGGATTGGAGAGCCAGAAGGAACCTTCGAAATAGCTGGGATTCCCAGAGAAGTTCTTTGGGCCCCGGATCTGGGGTGTGAGGGGCCCTCCGGGCCATCTGGTCTAGCCCCCCGCCCTCGCCCCTCCGCAGCCCCCAGGTCCTCCTTCAGACTGTCTTGGCTCACGATCAAGGGACAGTCTCTAATTCTCTTTTCTCTGGTCGCTGGCCTCATCCATGGACCTAGCTGGGGCACCGCTGCCGCTGCCTCGGTCGTCCCGCACTTGCGATGACACTAGTATCAAGCAAAGCATTTACTGAGCCCTTGCTGGGTGCCAGGTACGCTTCTCCTCCCCTGGACGCTGCTCAGGAGCCTCTGGACCGCTGGAGAAAATCGCTCTCTGCACTTAAGGAGCAGCGCTGCTTGGTTTGGAGAGCAGAACCTTTGGCCTGTGGGCCCCTCCCCCTCATCATCCCTATGGGGAGTCCAGCTTCTTGGGGGGGGGGGCTCTCATGCTTTCCTCCCCTTCTCTCATCTATTTGAGAGGTCAGAGTGGGCAGAGAAGGCTCTGTCTTCAGGAGAGGCGAGAAAAGATTATGTCCAACATTCCCAGGAAGAAAGGAGAGACAAAAAAATGTAGATTTAAGAAAAAGTTCTGATTTTCATGCTTGGTGAAGAGATTCCCCACTTCAGCCAGTGTGGAATATTTGATAGAGAGAAGTGCGAGAGGTTGGGTGGGGGAGGGCAGAGCTGGGCTGGGTTGGGCAGGGTTGGGCTGGGTAGAGCTAGGCTGGGCAGGGCAGGGCTAGGCTGGTCTGGCCAGAGCAAAGCTAGGCTGGGCTGGGCAGGGCTAGGCAGAACTGGGCTAGGCAGGACAGGGAAGGGCTAGGCAAAGCTAGGCTGGTCCAGGCAGGGTTGGGCTGGGCTGAGCTGGGCAGGGTTGGGTTGGGCAGGGCTGGGGTCTTAGGTCTAGATTTGGACAGCCCCTTAGAGGTCATTGAGTCCAGCCCCCTCATCTTACAGTTGAGGAAATGAAGGACAAGAGAAAGCTAATGACTTGCCTAGGGTCACACTGCTAATAAGTCTCTGAGGACTGACTGTGGAAATCCCTACCAGACCAAGAATTGGTCTAAGGCTTTCCCGAGGAGAAAATTTACAAGCTGAATGGATAGTGATGGGGCAATTGGCAAGGTGAAAGCCTCTCCTGGGTCATCTCTGTAACGAGACATTGTGCATTGGATGGACAAGCACAGCTGATGTCTACACGGCCCCAGAAGGTGCAGGGAGCTTTACAGCTGTCACTGCCTTTGAGCCCAGCTGCCACAGAGGCCCCAGTGATTCCCCAAGTATCACAGAGCTGGGAAGTGTCTAAGGCAGGATCTGAACCCAGGTCTTCCTAGCCCCAAGGCCATCCAGCACTCAATCCACTTGGCCTCGCTGCTCTCTCCTAGGGTTCGCAGAACACATGCCCCTTGGGGTGGCCCCTTGGTGGGGTCGGGTTGGGCTGGCAGCCTGTAGTCTGCGCTTACATTTGCTGGACTGCTTTCTTTCCTCATTGATTCTTTGTCCCAAGGGATGGCTCTGGGAGGGGGGAGCTGTCCATTCCAAAATGGTCGGAGGGATCTAGTTAGATGTTGGTGGGAGTGAGCTCCTGGAGCCACATGACCCAGAGGCCCCCCAGCGGGACAGAGCTGTGTAGGAACCTGGCCAGCTCTCTCCTCCGGCCCTTGGCCTGGGGCCTCCTGCTCCTTCTGAGGAGCAGCCCGCCCCTATGAGGGACCCTTGAGCAGGGACTCTCTGCACCTTCAGGTTGGTTTGTTTAATTCTTAAGATCGTGGATGTGGGGCCACCAAGTACATTTTACAGAGGAGGAAACTGAGGCCCAGGAGAGAAATGACTAAATGGGGTTTGAGCCCCGTGTGTGGGCCAGTCTCTGGCTTGTCTCGGGGAAGGGAAAGCTGACTTTACTTTCCAGTCAAGCGCTGCCTCCTCCATGAAGCCCTTCTTTGTTCCTCCTAGGGTCCCTCTCTGCCCGGGTCTCTGCCACCACTCCATCCCCTCCCCCTAAAAAAAAGGCCTCTGGTATAAAGTCAGAGAAAGGAGGAAATATAGCTAGGCCCGTGCCCCTTTGTGAAGGCGCCTGGAGGTCAAAGCAGCATGACCCGGCACCTCGAGGTCAGGGGTCAGGCAGGACCTGGGTTGGGGGCTTCTAGAAGACAGAGCAGGGGTCAGGTCGGGGGTGGGGGGGCAGCCATGGCTCGTCTAGGCTTCTTGGCTAGGATTCTCTCCAGAGAGAGCCTAGAATGGTGCCAGGGGACTGTTTGCAAGGGGACACTTCAGGTAATTTTCTACTCCACATCGACTCAACCTGAAAAGAGTAATTTAATTGTTGTTATGAAGGAAACACAGTTCTCACTAGGAGAAGCAGCCAGTTTCTTTAGAACACCCAGGCAGGACCTTGGATTCCCTGGCCTTCCTTTTGGCCTGGGGCAGTTTTCCTTTTCTTGAAGGTTTGATTATTCCCTGGATGCTGGTGGAGCAAGAGGAGCTGGGTTTGGGTCCCCTTTCTTCCATTTGTAACCTCCTTGGGGGATAAGGGAAAAGGTGGGGGTCAGAGGAGCTGAGGGCTCGAGGGTCTGGGCCTCTGTGATCTGCTGGTCTATCCCGGAGGACCTCTGACCCCATGAGATGGACTGAAGAGGCCACTGGTGGGAAAGCCATCAGAAAGGACTCGTGGCCATTGTGCTGTCAGGATCCCCGCCATCCTCGCATTCACACTCTGTAACTAGAGATGGGGGGTGGGGCAGAGCAGAAAGGACCGCTCTGCAAACAGGGCCGGCGGGAGGCCTAAAGAAACCGTGCGTTTTCTTGTTTGTTGTGTCCAGGAGGAGCTGATCTTCGCCATGTCGGACCTGGAGAAAGCCATGATGGCCATCATCGAGACATTCCACCAGTACTCCGGCAAAGAGGGTGACAAACACAAGCTGAAGAAGTCAGAGCTAAAAGAGCTCATCAACAGTGAGCTCTCCCACTTCTTAGGGGTCAGTGTCACCTCCCTGGTCCTCCCCCACTTCTGACCCTCCCAGCCTCAGGGGCTTCATTCCCTCTGCACTTCAACGGACTAGGGATTCGAGTGGTGATGGGGAAGGCTAGCATTCCTGGAGCTTTTCAGGAAGGCCTGACATGAATACAAAGCACTCTACCCCAGGTTCCATTCTTGGGCCCATTTTCCTGATGAGAAATGAGGCTGTGGAGGTGACTGCTGTCCCAAGGTCACACAGCTAATTTGTGTTGGAGGCGAGGTTTGAACCCAGATCTTTCTGACACTGAGCCCAGCACTGTGCCTGTCCAAAGAAAATCCAGAAACAAAACAAAACCCCAAATTGCGCGAGCCTCGGAGCGGTCTGTTGTAAATGAGGGAATGGACGGTGGAGGGTGGTCTACGCCCTCTGCCTCTTGAAACCGTGTGACTGTGTCTCCTCCCGCTTCACGGATGTTGCCAGGGCCCCCCCACCCCCTTAAGCCTTTGAGTCCTGTTTTCTGCTGCCTTGGATGCCGGCCTAGTTACACTGACTGCATCCTGGGATGCTATAATTAGCTCTGTGAGTTCAAGCTGTCCTCAGATGCAATGAGTCATCGGAGCCAGCTTAGGAGGGAACAAGTGGGCCTTCTCCTCCTGCCACAGGTTCAGGGTTGGGCCTGGCCCTTCACAGACCCATGCCTGGGGGGAGGGGCTCTTCCCGGGGCTGGGATGGTCCGGGGGCCTGAAGTTGGGTCTTCCTGGATCTATCCACCAAGCGTCGGAGGCTTATTTGGGAAACGTGGGCCTGGACGAGAAGGCAGGTGAGTGACGGGACGAGAGGGGCACGTGATAGAAGGACAGGGAGACTCACAGAATGCACTAAAAAAACCCCAGGAGGGAAAGTCTGCGTGTGTGAGGCAGGAGAAGGGGGAGGGGTCTCGGCCTGGAGTCCTGCATGACCACCAGCTGTACACAGCTTGACATCTGCACCCACGGTGGGTGTTCCATGATTGAGGAGAGGGATCATGGGTCTGGAGCTGAAAAGGACTTTAAAGGCCACCTGTTCCAACCTACTCATTTTATGAATGAGGAAACTGAGGCTCAGGGCTTTCGGGTCATTGATCTAAAGCTGAAAACGACATCTGAGGGCAGCTAGTCCCATTCTCCCATTTTACAGATGAGAAAACTGAGGCCCAGAGACTGGCAGTCAAAGGAGGCTGAGCTGGGGTTCGATCGATCTGGGGACCTCCAACCCCAGTAGCCCCTCCACTGTAAGGGCTGGGTGATCTCTATTTTTGCTAACCTGGGGCCCCACCTTCTTTCCCTCAGGAGATCAAGGAGCAGGAGACAGTGGACAAAGTCATGGAGACCCTGGACGCTGATGGAGACGCTGAGTGCGACTTCCAGGAATTTGTGGCCTTCATTGCCGTGATCACCTCTGCATGCCATGAGTTTTTTGAACACGAGTGAAGCCCCCAAGAAGTTCCATCTGTCACGAAAATCAAGCAAAGATCCACTGGAATTTTAAGCAAAGCAGCAAAGCAGAGCTTGCGGTCTGGTAGGACCCCAGCTGGCCAGCCCCCAAGTAGTTTACTTAGTAGGAAGTTTGATGCGCTTCGTGAAGAGAAACAGGAGAGTTTCTGCCAGGATGGCTCAAAGGGCCTCCTCTTCACTGTCCTGGCAGCTTGCCTTTGTCATCCCTCCCCGTAGAGAACCTCAGGCCCTCCCACTGTCCCATCAGGTCCACACCCACTGGCCAACCACAACCTGCAGAGAAGGCCTCACTTCCTTTTGCGAGTGCCAAGGAAAGGCGAGGGGTTTGATCCAAGATGGTTGAGCCTTCCACGGGGCGTGGGGGGCACGGATGGCACCACCCCCGTGGGGGGTGTAGCCCCCATGACCACGAAGTTCCCTTGAGGTTTCCACAGCTCCTCTAAGCCTCCAGCTTTATTTTACTTTAAAATAGGGAGTGTTGCCCCAGGTCAGCCAAGTGGTTTCCCCATCCTCAGATTTGCTTGTGATAGCCAGAAAGGGAAACCAAAGTAATTAGATGATAATATCAACACACAGATGCAAACCAGGACAAGTGGGAGTATTTGTGTGGCCTCTCCCGGGAGCTGAGCCCCTGGAGTGCCAGGCTCTGTCCTTCTCCAGCTTTGTTACTTCAGCGCAAGCACAGTACTGTGCACACAGCAAAGGCTTAATCAATGCTTGTTGGGTGTGGAATGGCCAAGGGTCTGTAGGAGTGGATTTTCCTGATAAGTCATTAGAAACCGACCGAATAATACAAATAAAACTAACAGAACCAAAGCAGGTCAGACATGAATAAAGCACCCTTATAAATGCTGGAAGTATTAACTTTCATCTGTCAAAGTTGTAAAAGAATTCCCAGCCCTTTATGCATTCCCTCATTCTCTCGTTCATTCACTCATTTACTCATTCATTCAACAACCATTCCTCTTGGGTGAGTCACTTGACTCCCGATTTTTCTCTTGGTATTTCAGTATTTCTTCTGGTGGTGAGAACAGCTGTGATGAGGCAGGGAGGTGGGTAGCATATAACTACAGTGGAAAGTGCCCCGGATCAGGGATCAGAAGGCCCTGGTTCTGCTCCTCTTTCTTCTCACATTTTGCCGCGTGACCTTGGGCAAGTCTCCCCCCTGGGCTGTAGAAGTGATATCTTTTGTCCTAGCTCTGACCTTCATAAATAGCTGGTCTTACTCTTGAAAAAAAAAAAAAAAAAGCAAAAACAACCAACCAACCAGTGAAAGCAATCCCCAACTTGCTTACAATTTACTTAAGGGGTCTTCACTCTTTCTTTTTTTTCTTGGTGAGGCAATTGGGGTCAAGTGACTTGCCCAGGGTCACACAGCTAGTAAGTATCAAGTGTCTGAGGTCAGATTTGAACTCCGGACCTCCTGACTCTAGGCCTGGTGCTCTATTCACTGTGCCACCTAGCTGCCCCATGGGGGTGGGGATCATCACTCTTCATCAAAGCTTGAACATCAGTTTCCCAGATTAGACAATTACTAATGCACCCGCTTGGCCTAACTTTGGAGCAGATGAGCCTTGCCGGCACCAGGCATGTTACTCAGCTCCCCAGTGACTCTTCATGCTTCAGGAGTTTGCTGCCTGGCAGATGGACACGCTTCCTTTTCTCCTCAGAGGTTAGGTTTGGTCTCAACTCTGGCACCCTCTCCTTCAGTTTTATGGAATTGTCCTTTGCGGTCTTGGTTATGTGGTTGGATAAGATGAGGCAAGTCGAGAGATGCTGCTCCTGTGGTCCCCCCACTGTGGCAAACCTGATTGAGGGGCGCACGGCCCAGCACGCAGGCACTGGTTAGTCTTCATTTGCCCCCGATGATCACGTGCTCCCAGCCAAGCGTCGGATCCTCCTCTGGCATCATCAAACCTGGATTCCAGGTGGGCCATTTTGCAAAGTCACAGATGCAAGGAAGGATTGGTTAGAAAATGGGAACAGGCGTGTTCTCTGCTTTGTTGAGTTTTGTAACGGTGGGGCCAGCTTTGGAAAGTCGTGGTTGGGTTGACAGTGGACTCTGTATTCTCATCAAATAAAAGCGCCATCCCTCGAGTCTCTTCTCTTCTGGTCTTTTTAAAGCTCCCTGAGTGGGAAGTGGGGGGGGGTGGTCAGGAGCCATGGTTCAGGCAGGTGGCTGGGCTGCGTCATAGCCCTTAGAGGGCCTCCTGTTTTCTGCGTATTTCATAGGACAGCACTGGGCATTGCAATAGGAACTTGGCTGTAAATTAATTTGAACATCAGGGCAGAGAGGTGAGCTGTAAACAAGAGCATTTCAATCGAGATCAAGGTCTCCTTGGCAGAGGATGTCGTGTATAGTTACCTGGAGATCCATCCAAACACTTAGCCAGCCCTCTTAGGCTTTCTCTGTCCATGCAGCAGAACGGCATCTATTGTCTCGGGCCCCCCTCCGCTCAGGCCCTTGGTGTCATTCAGGGAGGCTCTTTTTCCACCATAATCTGGGGCTATTGCCCTATCGGGTTTCTTCTGGCTTTGTTTTGTAAAATCAGACTGTAGCCACTAGCAAACAACACAGATCCCACTTTGTCAAAGCCTCTGATGGATTTCACCCTCCCTGAAAACCCGGCCTCCAGCAAAAGGCTCCTTTAAGGTTAAACCATCTTTTGCAAACAATTAAGGAAGCCTAGCTTGAAGGCATCTTGTGTGACAAAGCTGGGGGTGGGGGGGGGGAGTATCTCTGAGCTGATGCTGTCAAGGGGCTGCTTAAAAACAACAACAAAAAAAAAACTTCATGTCATTTTAGGCTGCATCGTAGAAGCAAATTATCCTGGCGTCGGCAGTAGGTAGCAATAATTCCCCTGATTCTGCTCTGCTTAGAGCAGAGCGCATGATGGAATGGTTTCTCAGATACGGGGCAAGACTGAAACTCCTCCCACAGAGCCAAAGACTCAGGACTTTGGAGCCTAGAGAAGAAAAGGGGTGCGTGCATGTTTATATGTGTGTGTGTGTGTGTGTGTGTGTGCGCGTGTGCAAGGGTGCGTGCACATATCAATCAATCAACAAGCATTCATGAAACTCCTACTCTGCACTGTAATAGGTGCTAGGGCGAGAAAGGCGATGATGAAAGTCTGATGACCATATTCAAATATTTGAAAGGCCATCACATGAGAAAGGGACTAGAGGTGTTATGAGTAGCTCCACTGATTAAGACAAAGGTCAGTGGGCGAACATGACAGGAGGCAGATTTTGGCCCTGTTCAAGGAAGAATCTTTTCATAATTAAACTGGTCTAACAATGAAATGGGCTGTCTTTGTAGGGAGTGAGCTCCCCATCACTTGGAATATCCAAGCAACAGTTGTATGCCCACCTGTGAGGGATGCTGTGAGAGGACTTGTGCTTGCTCTGGAACTCATGTTTCCGATGTGATCTCCTTCTACCACCTCCCAAGGAGCCTGGGGGTGTGGGGGTGTAGAAGCTGGGACCTTTAATTGTTTGCACTCAGAGGTGACAGCAAGCAGAATGAGCCCGTGAAGCATTCAAAGTGAACATGTAGAAAGCATGTAATAAAAGTGAACCCATGGGACAGCTAGGTGGTGCAGTGGATAGAGCACCGGCCCTGAAGTCAGGAGGACCTGAGTTCAAATACGGCCTCAGACCGAACACTTGATAGTTACTAGCTGTTGTGACCCTGGGTCAGTCACTTAACCCCAGTTGCCTAAAAAATAATAATAAATATAAAAATAAAAGTGAACCCACCTCTCTCATCAAGCACACTGGGAAACCTTTCAGAATCCTCTCAGTGGTGCCCTAGAAAACTCACGTGCCTGCTGGACAGCTCCTCAGGACCTTCAAAGGAAAGAGCCTTCAGGTGGCAGCCAAGTGTTCTAAGAGCCAATCACCATCTTCTGGGAAGGAGAAGAGTGTGGTGGCTCCAAGGACACCACATTTTGTGAGCTTCCTTCTTAACCTTTCCTCGCTTTGGGGAGAGACAGCAAACAATGGTGTTTGAATTCCGATGCCGACCCTGCTATTTCCCAGCTGTATGACCTTGAAGAAGTCACCACCTCATTGTGTGTAGATTCTTTCCCCATAAGAAGAGTAGGTTGGTGCATAGAACAATAACTCATAGGTATAGAGCATTTTCCTCACCACCGTCTATGGTGGGTACGAACTGGATTAAATGTTGGCTAGTCTTATCTCTGCAGCGAGGTGGTGCAGTGGATAGAGCACCTGAAGTGGAGTCAGGAAGACTTATCTTCTGAATTCAAGTCTGCCCTTAGGCACTTACTAGCTGTGTGACCCTGAGCAAGTCACTTCACTCTGTTTGCCTCATCTGTAAAATGAGCTACAGAAGGAAATGGCAAACCCCTCCATTCTCTCTAGAGAAAACTCCAAATAGGGTCACGAAGAGTCAGACATGACTGAACAGTCTTATCTCTGATTTACAGATGAAGATACTAAGGCTGTGTGGAGTGTTGGACTTGGAGTCAGAAAGTCCTGAGTTCAAATCTTGTCTCAGATGCTCACAAGGTGTGTGATGCTGGTATGGCATTTAACCTCTCTGAACCTCAGTTTTCTCATCTGCAAAATGAGAGCAATAATAGTTATAGTCTACACCTCCCTAGGTAGTTATGAGGCTCAGATGAGTTAATGCTTGTAAAATGCTTTGCCCATCTTAAAGGGCCATGTAAATGCCGCATATTCTCTCTCTCTCTCTCTCTCTCTCTCTCTCTCTCTCTCTCTCTCTCCAGATAAGAAAACTGAGGTTTTGAGTATTTCACCGACTTGACCATATTTGCATAACCAGTTTCTCAGGTGGAATCTGAAGCCGGATCTCCCAGCTTCACGTTTAGGTGATCCTTGGGGATGTAGGATCACACATTTTGGGCTGTTGAGTCCAGCCCTCTCATTTTACAAGTGAAGAGAAGGAAGCCAAAGGAGGCCAGATGACTTTGAGATTACCCAGGTCAGAAGTGTCAGAGGTGGGGACTGAGTTAGGGTCTCTCCCAGCTCTTCTACAAAGTGAAGCGGCAGCAGGGCTAATCTCCGGTCATTTTTCTGAGATCTGATCCGTTTACCTGGGCTTTTGCATGTAAAAGGACGTGGGGGAGCTAGGGGAGGGGGGCGCACTAATGTGGTCTCACTTTCTGGCCGAAGTCACTGGAGACCCCGAGGAAGCAGCATGGGCCAGGCGAGCTCCGTCACAGGCTCGGAGCCAGGGCCTCCTTTCACTCCGGGGCCTCGTAGGCCATCTCGCTGTCCTCGCTCCAGTGTTTGCCTGTCCTCTTCTTCCGGTTCCTCTCGGCCATGACGACGGCAGCAACCACGGTGATGCAGACGGTGAAGGTAATGACCAGCACGGTGACCGTCTCGGCCGTGCATAGCTGAGTGTCCACCAGAGCCAGGGGCAGGTTCTGCAGGACAGGGGGCTCCAGGCAGGTCACGTTGCTGTAGGCATCCAGAATCAGCCAGGGCACCCTGTGCAGCTTGCCAAAGACCCTCTGCAGGTCGCAGTCACACACCCAGGGGTTGTGGGCTAGCGTGATGTAGGTGCTTGGGGTCTGGATGGAGAGCAAGGTTCTGAAGCGAATGTGCCCCAGGGCATTGTGGGCCAGGTTGAGGACCGCCAGGCTCTTCAGGGCCGTGAAGACCCCCGGGGCGATGCTCTCAATCTGGTTGCCCTCGAGGTCCAGGACCTCCAGGTGCTGGAGCATGGAGAAGATGCCATTCTGGAGATGCTGGAGCCGGTTGCTCTGGAGGTAGAGCCGTCTCAAGCGCGTCAGGCTCCGGAACGTGCCCGGCTGGACGGAGGCGATGGCGTTGTTCTGGAGGCTCAGCTCCTGCAGCTCCTCGAAGTGCCGGAAGCTGTGGGCCTTGAGCTCCCGCAGCCGGTTGTAGGCCAGGCTGAGCTCCCGCAGCTCGCCGAGGCCGGTGGAGAAGCCACTCCCAAGCGCAGAGATCTGGTTGTGCTGCAGCTCCAGGTTCCGAAGGCTCTCCAGTGCGCCGAAGGCCCCCTCGCCAACCAAGCTGATGTGGTTGCCTCCCAGGAGCAACACCTGCAATTTCCACAGGAACCTTAGGGAGGGGCCTGGAACTTCGAGCAGGCGACCCCCAGACAGGTCCAGGTGCTCTGTTTCTGGGGGAAAGGAGAGCGGGCCGGTCAAGTTCACCCCAGAGCAGTTCACTGACCGGGACCTCTCCTGGCAGAGGCAGGGTCCGTGACACGGATAATGAAAACTGGGCTCCAGGAGGGAAAGCAGTGCTGACATCCAGCAGAGGAAGCCCCCGGACATCTTCAGGCTCTGGCTGCACGGTCCCATGGATCCGTCTAGGGGAAATGAGGTGGCCGGCTCTGAGGAGCGCCTTGTACCTGAAACATGGTCCTTGGGTAGTTAACACAAGTGAATTTTAATACGAATGTAGCCTTATTTGTTTATTTATTCATTTGCAGCTAGAAATTTAGCAAGAAAGCTAAGCAGTGAGACGAAGAGCTGAAAACGTAGCTAAAAAAGCCAAAACCATCGTGGGAAAACGGGAAACAGCACCAGGATGCGGGGAGGCAGTGTGGACCTGAGGCAAGAACACTGGCCTTCCAATCAGAAGACCTAGATTGGAATCTCGGATAACCTGTGTGACCTTGGAAAATCACTTGGCCTCTCTGGGCCTCAGTTTCCACATCCATAAAATGAGGGGGTCAGACTAGATGGCCACTGCAATTTCTTCCAGCTCTGAATCTAAGACCCTAAATGTAGCTAGAAAGCTGGGAATCAGTTAGAAAGTGAAACCACTAAATGGAAAGGTAGCTATAGCTGCAAAGCTGGGAATCTAATAAGAAAGGTCAAAATTTAGCAAAAAAGTGAAAACTCTAGCTAGAAAGCATAGAAACATAGATTTAGAGTTGGAGGAATCCAACCCCTTTATTTTACAGATGAGGCACGGCTTAAGTAGTTTGCCCTGGTTCAGGCAGCTAGTCAGTGTCTGAGTGGGGATTTGAACCCAGGTCTTCCCGACTCCAAGTCCAAAGCGCTAGCCAAGATAACATGCTGCCAATAAAGCCATAACTTGTGAGGTGGCTGCAAACCTAGGATTCCAGAAGGCTTGAACGCTAGCCAGAAGGTGTGAAAATTATGGCATTGCAGCATCTAGGAGATGGTATAGAGTTTAGACGCCACTTAGTCCAGTCTGCTTCTACTCACAAATGCTTTCTCCCTTTCCCCCATCAGCCTCCGCTTGGACGCCCCTGCTGTCTCCCATTCCAGCATTCTAGCCCATTCCAGTTTTGGGAGTTCTAACCAGAAGGAGGGTTTTCCTGACATCAAGCCACAGTCTTGGTCTCTTTGCCCTTGGTTCTGCTCACTGGGGTCAAACACGATGGGCTTTCAGATCCTTGTAATCAGTCACTTGAATTCTTAGAGGGTTGCCTGGCACCCTGCCTTGCCTTGTCCTTGTCAGAGGCAAACTGGAAACCTGGCCCCCTTTTCTATCACCACCTGTTAGTCCTTAATTCTTGGTTTCCTCTGCCTCCTACCCACCTTCCGGTTCCTATGCTACTGGACACCCCTGGAAGAGGTCACGCCACAGTGCCAAGTGGGGCCACTATAAGCCCAAACTCTATAATCTCCATCAGACCCTCCCTGTTGCACGGCACTCCCTGTTTTTGAAGAGCTGTCATTCCAATGGGGGGAGATGACACCATCATTACAGGAACACTGGAGATGTATCCTGAGCATGTAACGGTAATCTGAACCGGGGAGGCATTAGCAGCTGAGAAAGGCCTCCTGAATAAGGTGGAATGTGAGGTGAGAAAGCCAGGAAGCCAGGAGAAGGAAGTGAGGATGGAGAATATTCCAGGCATGGGACACAGCCAGGGCAAGGCATGGAGACGGAGTGTTGTGTGAGAGGAACAGCAAGAAGGTTGGTGTAGCCAGATGGTAGAGTGAGGGAAAGTGAAGAAAGCATAAGAAAACTAGAAAGGTAGAATGGCAGGCGGGGCAGTAGGGGAATAGATTGATATAACCTATCCAGGGACAATGGCAGAGGTAATTTGATCTTGGTTTGTGGTTCGGGAGCCTGGGGGTGGGCTAGAAGAGTTGTTGAGGAGGAGGAGGGGGAAGAGATGATGGGGGAGGCAGAAGGGAAGCAAAACGTAGCTGGGGCTTGTCCTGAAATAGTGGTTTGGGAGAGGTGGTCACCAATCAGGAGAGCAGGGCCCAGGGTGGCGAGACTTCTGTCAAAGGGGAGGGATGGCTGGAGAGGAGGGAGTGATGTCGGAGCTGGCTTGGGCTCTTTCTCATCCTCCAAAGCCAGTCAGTTGCCACATTTTGATGTCTTTATCTTCAAAACATCTCTTGGATCTGATTCCTCTCCACACACAAATACCACCTTCGTTCAGGACCTCATCCCCTCTCCCCTAGATTGTTGCAATAACCTTGTTGATATCTGTGGCTCAAGTCTCTCCCCACCACAGAGCATCACACACAGGCATGCGCGCACACACACATGCACACATGCGCATACATATGCACACAGAAATGCACACACATGCACACACACACACACACACACACACACACACTACCAGGGATTTTCCTGAAGTTCAGATGTGACCATGTCAGTTACCTCCTCTAGGATGGCCGCTAGGACAGGAGAGGAGCTCCTTTGTCCAGTGTTGAATGGACAGCTCTGCTCCCAGCCTCTCTTTCCAGCCTGTCCTGCACCCGAGGATCCAGCCAAACTGGCCTGCTCCCTGTTCCTGGCATGAGATACTCAATCTCTCATCCCCGTGCTGTTGTACCGGCAGTCCCCCCTGCCTGGGATGCCCTCCCTTCTCTTTAAAATGCAGCTCAGACTCGGTCTTTGGCCAGAATCCTTTCCTGATTCCTCTAACAGCCTGTACCTCACTCCAAGCTGCCTCGCATTCGTACCTACTTTGTCCGTATGTCCTGTAGATACTTTAGGTTGGTTCCTGTTGTCTCCCCACTTGAAAGTGAACTCCTCGTGAGCAGGGGTTGTTTCCTTTTTTGTGTCCCCACAGCCCAGAGTGGTACCTGGCACATCGTAGGTGCTTAATAAATGCGTGCCGACTGGTTAATCGGTGACCTCGTCAGCTCCCATTATAGATCCTCATCAAGCTCCATCTCCACCCCTGGTCAATGCAAACTTGGTTTCCAGCGTCTATGGTCTCATCTGGGAGAGTTCTCCCTGCAGCGGGTAGAGTGCTGAATTTGGAGTCCAAGGAGTTGGATTGAAATCCTCCCTCAGCCACTTACGATAAGGACCACCACGGGTAGGCCTCAGTTTCCCCAGGTGTGGGTGAAGGGGCTGGGCTAAGTGGCCCAGAGGTCCCTCTCAGCCTTTAGTCTGTGATACAACTCACACCCGAACAATCGTCAGATGCAGTAACAGGCCATAGATGCATTGGAGAGGGGCAGCGAGATCGCCAAGCGTCCTTACCTTTGCTGCTGCCTGGTAAATTCTCCTCGGCCCCTTCTATCCTCAGGCTGCCCAGATGGGAAAAAGAGCTGGGGTTGGAGCTGGCTGAGGGAGGGGTGCTGAGAGTCTGACACTGGTGAGTGATTGCTGGGGAAAGCTTGAATAATTTAGAGAGCCCGAGGCGGCAAGGCGGGTCGCTGAGCCGGGCCACCTGAGCGCAGCTTTGCTGCACATTTGACAAAGCATCAGCAGCAAGGAAAACAGATCTCCTGGACCTGCAGCCAGCCTTCCCAGAGCCAGCCTTTTACCAGTGATCCACAAAGGCAGGGCATTTGGATCCTGGCTCCAGAGCCCTCGAGGTCCAGCCGGCGCTTAGGCAGCAGCTAGAGGGGTCTCCAGAGTCCAGACTACCACTATCCATGAGATGGCGAGCAGGGATGAATGTGGATGCTTGAGGAGAGAAGAGGACCAGAGAACTCAGTTCCCCCACTATGACCTCGGACAAGTCCCTCCAGACCTCAGTTTCCTCTTTTGTACATATGAGACCTCTTAGGTTCTCCAAATCCCAGGGAGGGCAGCACCTGGAACATGAGACTGACTATGCATGGGCCGTGGTCAGCTCTGTCTGTGGCTCTGCAATCTCATCCAAGGTTGCTCCCTCCAGCGGTGCAGTCATCCAGACCTGCTGGTCCTGCGTTTGTTGTAAGGAGTCAGTCCCTGTCCTGTAACATGTGTCCCAGGGTAGTACAGGAGCACCACCGCCCTTGCTTGGATACATGTTCTTCTTTGAAGTTCCTCGGTAGTAATGTGTTGCTGCCTATTCACACCCACCATGCCCCTCTCCACTGTCCTCTGGGTACAGCTAGGAAGACTGAGAAGCTGAGCTTTGGGTACAAGAAGGCAGCAGCTACAGGCACCAGCCTCTGTCCCATAATTACAATGGCCAGCGGCTGTAAAACACTTCAAGACTTGCAGTGCTCTTTCATTTGGTCCTTACAACAACCCTGTGAGGTTAAGTGTTGTTATTATCACCATTTTAGAGATGGGGAAACTGAGGCTGAGAGGTTAATCGACTTGCCCAGGGTCACACGGCTAAGTGAGTGTCTGAGGCAAGATTTGAATTCAGGCTTTCTATGTGAGGGAATAATCAGTATTGAAAGGGTTGTGGGAAGAGGCACACCAAAGCATTTTGGGTGGAGCTTTGAATTAGTAAAAACATTTTGAAAAGCAGCCCGGAATTAGTGACCAAAATGTCCAGGGGTAGCTGGGTGGTGCAGTGGATACAGCGCTGGGCCTGGAATCAGGAAGACCTGAGTTCAAAGCTGGCCTCAGACCCTTGCTAGCTGTGTGACCCTGGGCAAGTCACTTCACCCTTTTGCCTCAGTTTTCTCATCTGTAAAATGAACTGGAGAAGGAAATGGCAAACCACTTCAGTACCTTGGCAGAGAAAACCCCAAATGGGGTCATGGAGAGCCTGACATGACTGAAAAATGACTCAATAACTATCACCGCCACCGTGAATAGATGTCCTACCCCCTTTGACCCAGAGACCCATATGCTAGACATACAGTCAGAAGAGCTCACCGATGGCATATAGACACCAAAATGTTTGCAGCAGAAAACAGTTGGACGCAACGTGGATGCCCATCTGTTGGTGAATGGCGGGTGAACTAGTGGAGTATATCTGTGCTGTAAGGACTGCTGAGTGGGACGGGTCTAGAGAAGCCCAGGAAGGCTTAGATGAATGGATGCAAAAGGAGGTCAGCAGAGCCAAGAAAATGAGGTCCACTGTGACCACAAAAAGGTTCTCCACAAAACATAGAGAAGGAGCATTGCCAAGTCAGTCAGCCAGGACGAGCGCAGCCCCAAGACCAGCGGGGAGAGGAGGACATGTGGGAGGGGAAGGGGAGGCCTGTGGCTCTAAAACCTTCCCGAGGCTGTCGCCTTTTTTCCAGGCGTTGATTTGTTTTGTGACTTTTTTCTTTTCTTTTTTAAAAAACATTTTTTTTTGTTCTCTGAGAGGGGGTATGGGAGAGATACCTGGGAGTTTAGACGATGTAAAAAAAAAAAGAGTTCAACACAACTTATTAAAAAAGTAAAAAGAATGGTAGTGTTCTCTTTGCTCCTTGGCGGGGGGGGGGCATCCTGGGCAAGCCCTGCCCCCTGTTGAAGCCTCAGTTTCCTTCTTTCTAAAATGAGGACGTTGGACTACAATGTTCTGAGTTCTCTCCTACCCTAATGATTCTGGGCAGTGGGGGAAGCTTCCCAGGTTTTTTTATTCCGTGTGTGCTGACGTCAGTCGAGAACTCAGCCAATCGACGAGTATTTTAAAAGCGCCTACTGTGTGCCAGACACGGCACCGGGGCTGGGACACAAAGATACAGAGTGAAATGGTCCCGACTTTCAAGGATCTTACAGGGGAGGGTTTGAAATGTGTCCCTTGGGAAGACTGACCTGGAAGGAAGGAGGAGCCCTGATGGGAGGGCCCTGGTACATGGGTGGTACAGCTGCAGATTGCTCAGAGCTCTTAGCTCGGGAGAAGAGACGCCGCCTTGCAGGCAGTGCCCAGTGCAGTGCTTTGCACACAGTAAGTGCTTAATAAATGCATGTTGGGCAGCAGCGAGTGAGGCTGCCTCCCACTCTGCCACACGTTGGCAGGGACTAAGCCAGAATCCCAGGCAAAGTTCCCAGTCAGTCAATTGGCCCTAGGGCATGGCCAACAAGAGAAGATGGAAAATCAAGGCATTTCAGGGAAGCTCCCGTACAAAGCCAGCAGCCAGCCTGATTTTAATAATTAGGAGGATCAACTGTTTTCAAAGTTGTTTGCAAAGTGCTTTCCTGAGACATGCCCAGAGGTATGAAGCATTTTCCCATTTTGACTGATGGGAAAACTGAGGCAAAGTCTTACCAAGGCCCCAGAGCCTCCCAAGAATTAACCAGACTCATTCCTTCTCTGGGCCCAATCCAGTTCCCCTCCTCCCCAGGGATGGGGCTTGTCCCAGGGTCTGACCTTCTTCTAGTGGCTTCACCTCCTCCTCACTCCTGGCTCCCTTCAACAGCATCAGACCTTTGGGAAAAGGATCTGTGATGGCTGGAGAAAGGGGAGTGTACAAATAAAAGACGTTTTGTGGAAAATAGAAAAATGATCACATTGGCTGGCTAGTGACGGTGTGTGAAGCACTTTACTGACACCTCGTGCGGGCCTCACTACTACCCTGGGAAGGAGGTGGCATTATTAGCTCCATTTTACATATGAGGAAGCTGAGGAGGATGGAGGCAAAGTGACTTGCCCAGGGTCACACAGCTAGAAAGCGTCTGAGGCCGGATTGGAACTCAGGTCTTCCTGCCTCCAGGCCCAGAAATCCGTCCACTGCGTTCCTTAGCTGCCCTTTGTGAAGTCTGCGGCCCAGCTCACTACATGGCTCCCTTGCTGTTCCTTGGCCCTGACGTTCCGTTTACCCTCTCCATGCCTTTGCACTGGTTGGCACCTGCAGGCTGAGGACAGCGGGTGGGAAGGACCTGGGAGAGGCCTGCTGGGCTTAGCATTCACCACTAGATGGAGCCAGGAGACAAGGGACGGAAAGGTTGTGTGGGCTGGGAGCTCATTTCTAGCCTGTTGAGGTTTTCAGCCTGGGAGGAGGCTGTGAGAGGCTGATCACTCCCATCCTACAGAGAAAAAACAGAGGAGGAGGGGAAAGGGCCATGGAGCCTAGCTAGATTTGGAGCCAGAAGGCACCCCAGGGTCACTGAGGCCAACCTCCCCATTTTAAGGTTGCATAAAGGGAAGTGACTTACCTAAGGCCACTTGGGCAGTAATCAGCAGAGCTGGGATTTGAATTCAGGTCTTTGGATTCCAAATTCCACGCCCCTTCCATTGCACCCTGCTGTCTCCATGCTACTTCGTCCAGGGGGAGAGGGAAAGGGGCAGGAATTGAGGCTAGGATAGAAGGAATAAGGCTTGGGCGGAGGGAGAGCTGGCTTTTGCTCCTAGACTCAGAGGGTCTGGTCCTGGAAGGGAACTGAGGAATCCTCGAATCCAACTCTCTTGTGTCCCAGATGTGGAAGCTGCTGAGTCAGGACTTGAACCCAGGCCCTGTGACTCCGAATCCCTGACTCAGACCAGCTCAGGTGCTTGAGGCCTTGGCTCAGCCTTTTTAGCCCAGTGTTTCTGGGCTCAGGGAGGCTCCTTTTCCCCTAGAATGGGAGGGAGTCAAGGCAGAGGTGAGAGGCTCGGACACTTAGGAGAATGCATCTCACCTGCCTCTGAAAGTCCTTCTCCTCTGGGGGCCGTGAAGGTACCTACTACACACAGACCAGCAGGGTGACCGCCCATCGGTCAGGGCCAGGCGGGGCCTGGAGGGAAGGAGGGCGTCGGGGGCTCAAAGCCAGAGGCACACAGGCCCCATCACACACAAGCCTGCGGGGCAGGAGCTCACACGGGCACACAAGTCCGCTGATCACCACACGTCAGGCCCTTGGGCCAAGGGGGTCCAATGACCGGGTGCTGAGAGGGTCACATGGAGCACCGTCTGCCTATCTGTCTATCTATCCATCCACCCATCCATCTGTCTGTCTATCAAGTCAGCCGTCCTATCTATCTATCTGTCTGTCTGTCTGTCTGTCTATCCAGCCATTAATCTATTTATTTGGTCATCTATTTATTTAAAACCTTTTCTTGTAACCCCAGCACTTAGTGCAGTGCCTGGCACATAGTAGGTGCTTAATAAATGTTTGTTGACTGATGATTACCACACAGTGAAACCTCTCAAAGGCTCCTCATGGTCACACACAGAGAGTGAGGCTGCCTCAGAGGTGGGAGGGCTTGTACTCCTTTCCTTTACTTCCCTAACACCCCTCTCACTGTAAGTCTTGGAGTCAAGGTTGCAGAGCACTTAGTCAGGAAGCTCATAGAAGGGTCCCTGATCTAGCCACAGACATTCCTTCCATGGAGCCTCGAATGCCACTCCAGTAATTCTAGTGAATTTCAAGCTTCATGTATCTTAAGCGTATTACATACCATGGAAAGGCCATTTTCTTTAAAGAATGCAGAAACAATGGAGGAGGAAGGTTTATTGTGGAGGGGAGATGATAAAAACCACAAGAACATAGGCCACAATACCGAACCCCAGGGGGGACTGCTTTGTGCTGCCTTCATCCTCCTGGGCACTTGGTCCTTCTGCTGCCACTTCACTGTTAATAGAGACAGAGAAGAAAGAGGCAGGTGAAGTGCTGGGGGCAGGGGCGGGGCTTGTCTTAGAATTCATTCACTCATCGATTGATTGATTCGTGTCTGCACGTCCCCTCGGTGGGGCAGGGGGGCCGCGTGTTGGAATCCACCCCTCAGAGGTCCACAGCAGACAGGCCCAGGAGGCCCAGCTGGTTCTGCATGACCTGGCCCATGGTAGATGTTTGCTAACTATTTGGATCAGGCTCAATAGTCTGGGGGATGCTGTTAAAAAGATTCCTGGGCCCGGCACCACTTTGGCTATACCCCTGGGGATGTGCTGAGTGGGATCCACGTGCTTCTGTCTATGTTGGTAGTATGTCTGCATGGAGATAGGGAATCTAGAGCGTGGGATGGAAGGTGAGGAGTCACAGATTCCAAGTCCTTTCTTGTACGCTGTGTGTGTATGATATAGTTATTTATATTTACATAATCTATTTATATCTTCAGCATATTACAGTTACTGTATATTGATGTGTCTATTGCATATACATACATGCCCACATATGTATTTGTAGAAACACACAGATGGGGGAGAGGGAGCACACTGGGGGAGGACCAGTATGTCCCAGATTTTAATTCTTGTTCCCCTTTTTACTAATTATGGATTACTGAGCAGACTACTTAAGCTCTTTGAAGCTCAGTTTCCTCATCTGGAAAAGGGGGCTATGTTCATCTCACAGAATCCACAGGATTCAAAGCTAAGCAGGACCTTGGAGATCATCTATCCCATCCCTCCTCATTTTATAGATGAGGGAACTGGGGTCCAGTAAGGTCAAACATTACTTGTCCAAGGTGACTTAGGTAGTAAGTTACAGAGATGAAACTCAAATCTAGCTCCTTCAACTTCAAAGCCAGGGCTCTTTTTTCTAGAGTGCAGTTATTGTGAAGATCAAGTGGGATTTTACATACATGCACACACACATATGTATGTATATATGTGCTTACTGATTAATTGGTCACTATGATACATATATACACACTTATTGTATATATATGTATGTATTATATATGTGTATATGTATGTGTGTGTATATATGTATATACACATGAATCTATCTATATATGCGACCAATCAATCAGTAAGCATTTATCCAGGCACTGTGCTAAGTGCTGGGGATAAAAAAAAAAAGCCAGTCCCTGCCCTCAATGTGGGGGGGGGCGGGGGTTAGACACAAGTAAACAAATAAATACAAACAAACTCTAGACAGGATAAATGGGAAATAATGAAGAGGGGGAAGGCACCAGAATCAGAGAGGATTGGAAGGCTTCTTGTAGAAGATGGGATTTTAGCTGGGACTTGAAGGCAGCAGGGAAGCTGGGAGGCAGAGAGCAGGCGGAGTGTGGGGGCGGAGCCAGAGAAGACGCCTGGAGTCAGGAGATGGCAGTTTGTGTGTGAACAGCCCGGGGTTAGTGACACCAGATAGAGGAGTATGTGCTGGGGAGTAAGGTGTATGAAGACTGGAAAGGTGGGAGGGGGCAGGTCATGATGGCCAGACCAGCAGTTTAGGAAGATTGTTGTGGCAGCTGAGTGGAACACAGAGTGGAGTGGGCAGAGACTTAAGGCAGGGACTCCATCCACCAGACTACCACAATAGTCTGAGTGTGAGATGATGATGATGATGACCTCTCCTAGGGTCAAAGAGAAGGGGGAGCACATGAGAGATGTTACAAAGGGAAAATCAACAGACCTTAGCAACAGACTGGATATGAAGGGCATGGGGTGAGAAATAGTGAGGATGACCCCTAGTTTGCAAGGCTGGGTGATGACTGAGAGCATGGTAGTGACTTCAACAGTAACAGGGAAGCTTGGAAAAGGGGAGGGTTTGGGGAAAGAGACTGAATTCGGTTTGGGGCACGTGGAGTTTAAGGTGTGTATGGGACAGCCAGCTAGAGCTTTCTAATAGGCAGCTGGAGATGCGTCGGGAAGTTGGGAAAGAAGTTAAGCCTGGATTAGTCCATCTGAGAACCCTCAGCATAGAGATGGTCATTGACTCCATGGGAGCTGAGAGATCACCAAATGAATTAGGGAAGAGGAAGAAGAGGGCCCAGGACAGAGCCGGGCAGACACCTACGTTAGGGGGCACAGCACAGGAGCCTGAGGAAGGATGGTCAGAGAAGTAGAAGGAGAACCTGGAGAGAAGAGAGTATCATGGAGAAGAGGGTGATTGACAGGCAAAGGCTGCAGAGAAGTAGGGAGCATCCAGTCAGCATGAAACATGTGGGTAACTAGAAGGTGTCATTATCAGGAAAAGCTGGTTTTGGGACCCATCTTCCATCCAGCCTCTGCCTGACCTCACTGGTTTTGCCCAACTGGGGTGATGGTTGGGTAGGGGCATGTAGAGGAATGAGTGGTTGGAATATGCAGCCTCTTCCCCAGCCTCTAGGGTTATAAAAATCAAATCAATCCTAAAAGTCTGTGACATTTGTTATTTCCGCCATGCTACGGCTGGAGACTAAAGCCCAAGACATTCCATTGAGTTCACTTACCTATTCAAAGACACTGTACCGATTCCAATCATTCTGGCGTCTTCCGCTTCGGGGAGGAAACACCTCCACATCCCTGATGCCTTTAAAAGAGAGTAGAGACACTTAAGTCCTGCTTACTCCCAGGTTTTAAGCATGAGGAATTCCAGCCTTGCTTCGAGTGATGGCCACGCACTTGGAGTACGCGCAACATGTCTTGCAAGGGGACAGCTTTGGAAGGAGTGGAGCTCATAAGGAGGAGCGCTCTGGTCTAGTTTTTTTTAAAGTTTTATTGTTTCATAGCTGTGATTTCTGTGACCTTGATTAAAACTGTGAGTTCTGGCCCATCAGAAGAATGGTCATGTATGTTTGTCATATGGCAGAGCACGTGATAACTCACCCAGTGACCTCTGATAAAGCAGCTCACTCCGGGATTCATCGCTGTCTACATCTGCAAAATAGGGACTGTCATAATTGGCCCAAAGCTACTCAGACTTCTCAGAGATGTGCCCATCGACATGGTGGGCATGATACAGATCCTTGTAAAGGCCTTACGAGGTTTGGGCACTGGGCTAGGAACTGAGGCTATGAAGGCAAAGGTGAAGGTCCTTGCCTTCAGGAAGGTCATCCACTAATTTTTAAATCCTCTGCGTGTGAAGTTCCCAGTGAGGCAATCCCTGGACAGATGCAGAGCTTGGCCCTCCAGGGCAGAGTCAGGAGTAGTGGGTGACTGTTGTTAAGTCGTTTCAGTTGTGTGCGACTCTCGGTGGCCCCATTTGGGATTTTCTTGGTAAAAATACTGCAGTGGTTTGCCATTTCCTTCTCCAGCTCGTTTTACAGAAGAGGAAACTGAGGCAAACAGGGTTAAGTGACTTGCCCAGGGCCACTCAGCTAGTGAGTGTCCGAGGCCAGATTTGAACTCAGGAAGACCAGTCCTTCTGATTCTAGACCTGGTACTCTGTGCACTATGGCACCACCTAGCTGCCCCTGTTGAGGACATTGGGATTAGACACTCACTGTATGACCCTTGCCAAGTCACTTAACCTCTCTTGGTCTTAGTTTCCCCATCTGTAAAACAGGGATAATAAGAGAACCTGTGTCACCTGAGAATCAAATTGGATGAAATAGGTTGGCAAAGTGCCATATAAGCCTCCAGGTGCTATATAAAGGTTAGTGATGATGGCGATGATGTAGAGGAGGGTCCGGTGTGGACTAGAGCACGTGGCCTGTGAGCTCCCTTCTGACCCTGACATTCATAATCACATGAAGAGCAAACTGCTAATAAAATGTGTCTTTGGAGTCTCCTGTCAGAAAGGTACCACCCTGATCTCGAGACCATCACCCCTGGCCCCCAAATCCCTGCTTACCTCTCATGTAATAGCTTCTCCAGTTGTATGATCCCAGTCTGCCCCCAAAAATCTAGACAAAGGCAGAAACGAGGAGAGAGATGCACATAGACATGCAACCAGACCCAACCAGCAAGGCTCTCCCAGGCTGCAGGAGGCCTTTTGGGGGGCAAGGCAGGGTATTACGGCTGAGCTCTTTGACAGACATCCCTGGGCCAAGTTATAATAGAGCATTTTTGTCCCGAGGATCAGAGATTTCACCGGTTGGTTCCTCCTCACCAATGAAGAGCCAGACCTCAACAGCTTAGCATATGTTCTGTGCAGAGTGATGGAGGTTAAAAGTCAGCAGCCCACTTGGTTGTCTGAGATGAGCCGCCTCACACTTAGCTGGGTGCGGGGTGAACAGCCCTCACCAGACTCAGCCTCTATGGGGCAGCCTTCAAGGACTTAGGGACATACCTCCAGGCCGTGCCGAGGCTTGGGAAAGGGCTCAGTAGAAGGGATCCTTACTGAACCACAGTCATGCTGAGGGAGGAGGGGGGCAGCTCCTTCTCCTGGCAGAACCAGGGGCAGTGGAGGGAAGGGTGAAGGCTGGATATCACTGTCGTGAAGGCTCCCTTCACGTGAGCTGCCTCAAAGAGAACCGGGCCCCTCCAGAAGGGGAGGGAGCCCCCTACTTGGAGAATCTGCAGGCGGAGCCTGGTGCTGACCAGGAATTCTGTGGAGTCAGGAAGGGGCCAGAGGCACAGGAATCTGAGCATAGCAGTACAGCTACCTAGACATCAGAGGCAAGTACTCTGCCCAGCTCGGCCTGGGCACGTGCAGGTATGCCAATGAATGCCAAAGGCATTGGTTATAATGCTGGCAAAAAGCAATAGAATGGGAAAGAAATTGGGCCTTTTGTCTGAGTGACCTTTGGGGAGGGGGGAGTTAAGACTGATGTCCATCAGCAACACGGGGTTGGGAGGAGAGAGGGTCCTGTGTACTGAAGGTGAAGTCCCGGGTTTTGGGGAGGGGGTGTGGCTTGTTGTGTTTTGGCCACGCTGGCTTTTCAGAGTCAAATTGGCCGACGAGCATTTACACGGAACCAGCTTTATGTCATTTCCAGCCCTGATGCCCATCAGAGGGTGGGTCAGGAACACCACCATGGCCTGTCTACACCTGGTTACTTTATCCAGGTGTGTTTATTACACAACTTTTCTGCCCCTGGGAGAAGCGCAAATCCTGAAAGAGGCGCGGTGGCCAGGGCTGCACGCACCGCTCTGGCTCACCTCTTCACTGCTACTGGAATCGGAGCTGGGGAAGGCACGGAGGCAGCGGACCCACACGTTCCGCACCTGCTCAGCGGAGATCTCTACGGTGCTTCTGCAAGATGCTGTTGGCTGTCAAACATGGACAGAAAAGAACTTCCAGAAAGACGATGCTCTCCAGGAAGGGGCGAAGGGGAGGAAGGGTGTGCCCAAGCTGGCACGCCCTCTTCTAACGCGGCTCTAGTCCTGACTGTTCAACTGTGTCCACCTTTGCTGCCCCACCAGCTCGCCTCCTCCCTCACTTTTTAGCTTCCTTTTATGTGGGTTTGGTGTGTGTGTGTGGGGGATATGTAAGTCACCCACCCAGACCATGATAGTACATGCCAGGCAAGGGTGTACCCAGGACACGCCAGTGTAGACACCTGCTGTTCCTTAGCCACGTAGTCTTTCAGTTTCCAACCCCTTCTCCAGGCAAACTGCGTTCGCCTTCAGCTGTTTGGGCCCCCTGACTCTTGTGGGTGAACTCTCGAGCCCCCAAAGAACAACAGCATTTGATGGTGGGACAGGTTTGACCAAAGCAGGCCAGGTGACAAGCTGGCTTACCACGTAATAGCCCCTTTTGAAGTCACAGGAGCTCGGCGGGTTTCCGGACTCTTTCCTACACTCGGTTTCTCGGATCCCGAAGTCTATGTCCATGGTCAGGTCATTCTCGTTCATGAAGTTGACCTTGGGGAAGAGAATCAGTGCAGCAGCCAACGAGATGAGGGTTAGCTATTGGCTGGCTGAGCTGTTGTGCCGAGATGACTGGGAACACACATGCTTCCATTTCCTCCTCCCTCTGATACATTGTATTTATTTTGTTGCTACTTGTATGTGTATGGGTTGTCTCCCCAGATAGACTGTAAGCTCCATGAGGCCAGGCTCTATCTCGCTGTTTTTGTTTCCTCATCAGTGCCTGATGAGGAGGTCCTTAATTAACACCTGTTGACTGGTTGTCATATTATGGAAATCCTTTAACTTCATAGTTAGTCAATAATTCCTTTGAGAGAAAAAGTTAAACTGTACATTTACAGAGTGATTTGGGCCACCCTGAGTTATCCAGCCCCACCTAGGCTGATCTCTGCTGCGCCCAACGTGAACTTTAAGGAGTTTCTCCCCTTACCAGCAGGGTGAGCAATTGGTCTGACGCTAATTATAAGCTTTCTTTATAAACTTACTGTGACCAAACCACTTGGCCTTTCTGTCCCCAGCGTCCTATCTCTATGATGAAGGTGCTGGACTAAATGGCCCCTCCCAGCTCTGACCTTCTGGGTCATTTGGTCCACTCTTCTATCCATTTTGTGAATCTCTTCTACAACACCTCAGACAATCTTTCATTGAGCTTCTGTTTGAATAACTCCAGTGACAGGGGCCTCATTATCTCAAGGAAGCTTTAATTTCTTAAATTTAATTTTTGGACACCTTTAACAGTAAGAAAATTCTTCCTCATGTCAATTTATTATTGATCTGCTTCATGTAATTTTCCCCCATTGGCCTGAGAGCTGGCTGCCCTCTAGAGCCACCCAGATTCAGTCTGGTCATGGAGGCATGACCTTCAGGGGTAGGGAAAGAGGAGAAAGGGGAAATAACGGCTGGAATGGCAAAGGTGAGTGTCAAAGAAAGTAAGACATCACCACAGCAAGTGGGCCTGCAATTCTACATGATCGGACATCCCATTAGAGACGTCTACCGTGGTGGATGGTGAGCTGGTCACCAAGCCAGGAAGACCTGCCTCTGACGCACGCTGGCTGGGTGACCCCAGGCATGCTCAGGACACTCACTGACATTTAAGCTTCAGAGAAGGTGCCCACCTGCCCTGAGAGAGGAAGCTCCTCCCTGGGAGCTCTCCACATTGAGGAAACCCCAGGGCTGGCCCAAATTTTATGTACACACACATACACACACACACACACACACACACAAACACATAATTAGAGGCAGTTCTGGTTTTAAAATTATTTTTAAAGCTGACAAAATTGGCAAAAAGGAAATTGGAATGTAGGAAAAAAAATCCCCCCAAATAAAACCCAACCCAAAGTAGATTAAGAAATCTACTTACTCTTCTAACTGAACTCTTATATGCCCGGAACCAATTTGGGCTTTGAGACTGGGAGTTCACTTTTTCAACCGACGCCCTGAGAGCTTCCCTCATCATGGCTGGATCATAGTCATACACAGGGAAACCTGAATTATGGAAAGATGTCAGACCCTCATGAAGATGGGGAGTCACCAGCTGAGATGGCTAGAAATGAAGAGGCAGCCCCTTCCATTCAAGGCATCCTACCTGAAGAAGACCAGATGTTCATGACAAGAGTAATTATCACCAAGACCTCCATGACTGCCTTCTTTCCAGGACATATAAGTCAGACCCAGAACCAAGGGGGATATTTCTTGTTGGGCTTCCCAAGGCTTAATCTTTCTGGAGATGAAAGTGGTTTTTACAATGTCATCTTACCTCTGAATTTGACCAGGGCCCGTGTCACCACTTTTCAGCAAACAGCTCAGCTCAAACAGAAATCATTGATCCAGGAACAAATATTTGTTGCCAAATCTTTCTCCATGAAAATGTTACAGTATGGAGTGGCCTTTGGAGTTTGGACCTCAAAGGAAGAATTCAGCAGCTCCCTGACCTAACATTAGGAATCAAGGACAACAGCAGATTGTTAAGATGCTCCTAGGATCTCAGATTGAGAACTGGAAGGAGACAGACCATCCAGTCTGATACCTGAGGAAGTGGAGGCCCAGAGAGCAGTTGCTCACTCAACGTCACACAAGAAGTTAGTGTTGGAGGCAGAATTTGAACCCAGGGCTTCTGACTCCAGGGCTTTTCTCATGGTACCAGACTCCTTTCCCATATGACGTTTGATGTAGGTCAGTACTTTGGCAGGTGGGGAAGTGGTCACTGAGAGAATGTTTCCACTGAAGTCCTCCTGGGACCTTTCCTCATGGTGTGGGTTCTTGCAGCCTACGATCGAAGGGAGGACTCTCTGACTGGCCCTGGCAGACCCCCAATGGGTTCTGGGTCTGACAATTGACTCAATATCTGTTACATGAGGACCAGCCTAGAAAAGTACAAAGAAGCACATCCCTAGGCACAGGAAGACTTGCCCAGGGCAGCTGCTAGTAAATGTCTGAGGTGGCAGCTGAACCCTGGTCTTCCTCACTCTAAGCCTAGGTTCTAGGCTCTGCACCAAACTGCCTCAAAGGCACTGTCTGAGAATGGAACATGGGCCTCCCATGTGGTATGTGAAGATAGGTCTCTCCCTCTTTTCTTCTTTCCTGGGAGCCTCTGTCCAGGCAGCCAAATTATTCCAATTTCTTTCTTTTCTGTTAAGAATGTCCCATAGCCTTCTTCCTGTTCTCTCCCCTGCTGGCTGGTACTGAGGCCTCTGCCTGATTCCATTCTCAGAGGCCTTGAGTGCTGAATGTCTTCTATGGGGGGTTTTTCTGGGGTTGGTTCTCAGATCCTGTGGTTCACTTCCCCATCTTGCAAAGGCATCACTACATTTCCTCTCCTTTCTCCTTTCTTCTTTTCGTGCTTGTATGTGAGAACTCATAGAATTCATGGTCTCATGGCTCTCCATGTTGAACACATGCATCTGAGCTAATGTTGATATGAACTTTGAATGGTTCTGGATTTATGTGTTTTCACCGAGTGATAATTTCACCAAAGTAGTCCATGGGTTCTCGAGTTAGTTCTGTGATCTACTCATTTTGTTTCAGTCATTTTTGAAGGTATGTATATGGAAAAGAAAGAGAGAGAGAGGGTGGGGTTCCTGGGGGAGATACTGGGAGTCCTTTATTTCCAGGACATTGTTGCCAAATGATCCTGAAGACTTGGGAAGGGCTTAATGGGAAGGAGGATGGAGCCTTAGAAGGTTCTCGCCTCCCTTCCATCAGAAGATCATTACCCATACTGTTTCTCAACAGGTCAGATCTCCCAGAGTGATCTCCCTGAATACTATGGCCTCATGAAGTTTTCTAATCCCCCAAGCTAGAAATGATTTCTCTCTCCATGAACTCCCAAAGCCCACCATGAGCCATAGCCTGAAGTAAGCTAAGTCCAATGGCCAGGATGGGTCCCAGGTACAGGTGGGCAGGAACCTAGGGATGGGAGTGCAGAAGGTCCACCATCTTCCTTGACTTTCTGTTTTAGTCCATGATGTGGAGATGAGTACACCCAACTTTCAGCCATCCCTTTCTGTGGACTGAGTCTGTATAGTCAAGCTCCACTCTAAAGATCTGTGAGGAATCACAGAGGAGGGCTAGGAAGTTATCAGAGGCAAGTGTCTCCACAGAAGAGTACTTAGGGTAGCTTTTTCCATTTTATTCTATGTAAAACAAACCGTTTAGCCACCGCATTCCACATCTTTGAATTTATGAATTCAGTGGGAAGTGGATTGAGAGAGGAGAAGCCAAGGATGGAGTGGGGGGGGGGTCTGAGCTTTGAAATGAGGGAAAATGTTACATTTTAATATTCGAACAACATTCTTTGCATGTCCTAGATTATCTTCAAACCCAGTCAGCGCTGGGCTAAATTCAAGTCACTGGAGCACTCTCACCATCGTGTGGGCATCACCGTGGAAAATCAGACTCTGTTTTCTGGGCAATCACTTTTGGGGTGCCAGCTAGGAAGCTGCAACCTTTCGGAGAAGGGCCATGTCCTGCCTGTGGCTTCCAGGAGAGTGAGTGACAAGGCTGTGGTGCAGGCAGGGTGCCACTTGGTGGTGAATGTGGGTATTACACTCCTTCCCCGAGCAATGAAGACAGCGACCTGCTGTCTTCATGGAGGAGTAGGAAGGGCGGCACCCGCGTCACACAACTGACAGGGACCTAAGAAGGTGCCGATGTCATGCGCGGACACTGCTCCCTCTTCTCCTAGATCATGAGCTCCAAAGAAACTTCAAATATTATTCATCTTAGTACATCCACGCAGTGCCTTGAACATAGACAAAACTCAATAAATATCTGTCAAATATACATATATATTATATGTGTGTGTTTATACATGTGCATACACACACATTCAGAGAAAGAGCTCCATGTGAAGTAGTAAGCAGTGTGGTTACAGTCAGGTGCAGGAGCACTGTATATGCCATTCACACATGCCAAGAACATTAAAAATGAATTGATTCTATGCCGATCTCTGAGCCACGAGCTGGCTCCCTCAACAGCCGACCCAGACTCCTGAAATTCCAGGGAATTTTTTGTGCTTGCTTTCATCTCCACAACAAGTAGAGATGCACTGTTTAGGAGCAGAGAAAATGAAAGGATTGAAGAGAAGAATTTGCAGACCACCGTCATTCCCAGGAATCAAGCCTTCCTTGTGCAAAAATGGTGATTTCTTTTTGCGATTGAAATTTGGATAATTAAAAAGTATATTTTCTCTTTTAAAAATTGATTAATTAATTTTTAGTTTTCAGCATTCACTTCCACAAGATTTTCAATTCCAACGTTTCTCCCCATCTCTTCCCTTCCCCCACCCCAAGACAGCGTGCATTCTGAAAACCCCTTCCCCCAATCTGCCCTCCCTTCTATCACCCCCTCCATCCTATCCCTTTCCCCTTCTATTTTCCTATAGGGTAGGATAGATTTCTATATCCCATTGCCTGTTTATCTTATTTCTTAGTTGCATGTAAAAACATTTGTTTTTAAACTTTGAGTTCCAAATTCTCTCCCTTCCTCTCTCTCTACCCAACCTCATTGAGAAGGCAAGCAATTCCGTATAGGTTATACATGCGTAGTCATGCAAAACACCTCCACAATAGTTGTTTGTGAAAGACTAACTCTATTTCCCTCCATCCTATCCCACTCCTTGTTTATTCTATTTTCTCTTTTGACCCTGTCCCTCCTCAGAAGTGTTTGCTTCTGATTACCCCTCCCCCAATCTGCCCTCCCTTCTATCATGCCCCCTCTTATCCCCTTTCCCCCCATTTTCCTGTAGGGTAAGACATTTCCATGCCCAGTTGAGTGTGTATGTTATTCCGTCCTTAAGCCAAATCGGGTGAGAGTAAGATTCCCTCATTCCCGCACACCTCCCCCTCTTCCTCTCCACTGTAAAAGATTTTTCTTGCCTCTTTCGTGTGAGATCATTTACCCTGTTCTGCTTCTCCCTTAAAAAACATATTTTCAGTTAAGATGTAAATCACATTCTCTTATTGTCTGTTCATCATGCCGGAATCTCTCCAGAGCTGACTTAGCTGGCTCCCAAGAGTCTAGTCCATTGCTCTGTCTCTGGTGCCTGATGGAAGAAGAAGTACTAAAGAGAATTAGTTACAAAGTAAAAAGAAACCCCCTCTCCCACCCCTGGCAGTGCTTTGCCAGAAGGGGCTGCTAGTTGGGGTTTGGCCCCATTCTCTTTCTTTATGCCTCTTCTGCCCATGGGATCCCAAAGCTAGAAAGGAGCTGAGCTAACTCCTCAAACCATTGCACTTTTCCCAGAGAGGGGAAGCATTTTCCCCAGGGTCACCCAGCTAGTTAGTGAAAGGACTGGATGAGAATTCAGGTGTAGACTTCCAGTTCCTCATGATTACCAAGATGTTGGCTGCCTGGAACACTTTTGTGTTGTTCTTTAGACAATGAGAAAGTTGTGGTTGGCTCGAGGAAGGTTTTCAAGGCTTTTAGTGATGAGGAAAAAGGAGTTTGCTGTAGTCTTGAGGCTCCCTTTGATTTCCAGACTCCAGATTCTTGCTTCTTATAGGGGATGTTGGGAGCAATGAGTAGTAATGCCAGGATCCCTGCCAGGCTGCTAAGGAGTTGAATGAGGAAGGATCGTACTTAAGGTCAGAAAGTAGGATAACTCTCTCTCACGTTTCAGTGTTACTAGGTACCAGTTCTGTGACCTTGGGCAGGTCACTTCACCTCTCTAGATCTCAATTTCCTCATCTGTAAAATGAGAGGATTGAACCACACGATCTCTAAGGCCTTTCCAGCTTAAATCCTATAAACTAAGAACAGGAAAATTTTTCATCTGGCATACTCAGTAAAGTACCCCCAATTATATTTGGTGTTCCAGCAAACCCAAACCAGTCACTGATCCACACTCCACACTTTCTTGCTACCATGCCCTTGCTAATTTTTTCTCGTTTCCCATGCCTTTTTATATCGATTAAAGTCAGAGCCATCATTGAAAGCTTCATTCAGGTATCACCTCACTACAAAGGATTCCCGGGTCCTTGAGCTAGAAGCAGGCTCTCCTTCCTCTAAACAACCCCAGGAAGCAGAAAGGTAATGACTTAATGGATCAGTGGTCTCCTCATCAACCTTCCACTACATTGTTATTTCATTTAGTGATTACCACTTTCATTGAATTATGAGAGATAAGGATGTATTTAAGATTTTTGCACTCGTTTCTTTTTTTTTAAATTTTATTTGTTCCTTTCTGAACTTAAGATATAAAATGAGCATTTCCATGACATAGTAGAATAGAAAAAAGATGATTGCATATGAAACTGCAAATCTGTTATGTACAACTTG